GCCATAATCACCTGGATGAAAAGCCATCCATTTGTGTTGGGTGCGAACTTCCAGGGCGGGGAGTCAATTGTGGCATATCCTTATGACAGCTTACGTCTCAACAAACCTACCGAGAGCCAGAAGCGCCACAGCCGCAAGAAGAGACAGTATGACTCGTTCTCTCCTTTTCCCCACTGTGTTCTCTAGTTGCTTTCTTGCTTTACACTCATACTTATTTCCTCAACTCTCATTTTTCCTCCTCTTTCCTCCGCGAGGAAGGCTCTCCGTGAAGCACTCACACTTACTATCAGGTTAAATAACTACAGTCATTTCTTACAGGTATGACGAAGAAGGTTTTGACGTGACAGAGTGGGGAAGGGGCTACCAAGAGGAGCCAGAGGAAGAGTGGAGAGGAAGGGGACACGCAGAGCCAGAGGAAGAGTGGAGAGGAAGGGGATACGCAGAGCCAGAGGAGGAGTGGAGGGGCCACGGCTATGACCACGGTTACGACCATGGCTACGACCATGGCTACGACCAAAGTTACAACCAAGGTTATGCACACAGAGAGGAGGAAGAGGATGATAGAGGAAGAAGCACTGGCTACCAGTACGCTGAGCCAGAGGACGAGCCTCGAGTGATAGCGGATGAGTCCCTCTTCAGGTGGCTGGCTGTCTCTTACGCCTCCACACACCTCACCATGACACACAACTACCACGGCTCTTGTCACGGAGACACTACTACAGGGGGGCATGGCCTCGTCAACCGGGCCAAATGGAAGCCAATCACAGGAAGTAAGTAGAGGCCAGTAGGTTTATCACTGGTTTAAGATTCAGTTAAGGAAATGGCTTATTGATCATCAGAGCTGTCAACATTAACCTATTACTACACATGCTCTTGACGCACACTGTTGACTTTTTTTTCCTTATGTGTGTGTCATGTTTTTACGTGATGTTTGTCTGATTGTTGTTTTGATGTGTTTAGATTGTATATTCTAATATAATAGATATTTTACTAAATGTATCTTAATTTTTTAGTGCTATGTACTATGTAATCTTTTTTAGGGTGACTCTTACCATCTGTCTAGGGACTGAAGATGAAAAATAGCCGTTAGGCTAATTCTTGCATATTGACAGAAATGTTTATGAATATGCACTGTCCCTGTAATAAATAAATAGAATAGAATAGAATCACATGTTTTGCAGTTATTTTAACTTATAACACACCCTGGTGGACAATATGTGCTGTGCAGGCTCTGAGGTTAGTGTTTGTGCATGTGCATACCCACTCTAGGTATGAATGATTTCAGCTACCTGCACACCAACTGTTTTGAGTTGTCCATATTCTTGGGGTGTGATAAGTTCCCTCATCAGAGTGAGTTGGCATATGAGTGGGAGAAGAACAGGGAAGCGATGCTCATCTTCATGGAGCAGGTCAGTCTCACACACTCATGCTCACATGTGATATACAGTATACCAGCTGCTTTAGCCTCTGTACTCTAACCCGACTGACTTTTCCTTTAGCAACACCACCAGGTAGACATTTTTTGAATTTAGTCAATTCTCTCAACAACTGTTGGATTGGTACAAACATGAATGGTCCCCAAAGGATGAATTGACTTTGGTGATCCTCTGACTTTCCATCTAGTGCCATCATCAGCTCGAAATGTTACTGTCTCCACTGCCCTGGTTTATGACTAAATACCTGCAAAACAAATGACACTCCCATCAGCCTCAGCTGTACTTTGTGTTTAGTGCCAATTAGCACATTAAACGTTAAAATGCTAACATGCTAAACTAAGGTGGTGAACATAGTTATGGTCAAACATCAACAGCAGGGATGAGCAAAGACACATCAAAATGTATTTTAAAATAAGATACCAAATACCCTAACTTTAAGTGTATCAAAATAGACAGCCATGCCATATGTCAAAATAAACTACTGTAGTTTTGTATTTCAAAAATCCTAAATACTTTTCCAAGGTATCATGAAATACATCACGCAAACATTCTCTCGGCCTATTTAATCTATCCCTTCACTAGTTCACTAGTTCTGACTTAGCTTCACTAGTTCACTGACTTAGCTGATTAAGTGGATGTTTGAGAGCAACGGCTTTTCTCTGCCTAATGCGTCATCTGGGAAATCTGACATATACAACCAGTTAACAGATCAGATACTGATATATCCCTGTGATCACTCAGATGAAGGTTAGTTTTAAAGTCACTGACAGTTTAATGTTTAAGTAACAGTTTGCTAATGACTGATAATTGTATCCTTATTTGATGTTTCCTGATGAAGGGCCTACACTGCATCATCTAAGCTACAACAAACACGAGAAGTGGAGGGTTGACAACCTGCTGTTTAATGGCACCAACGTTATTTATGACAATAAGGCAAACGTGTGCTTTTAACAAGTTAGACCATTTTGTGGCATTTTTTTCATGCACAATCCACGAAAACATAACATAGGCTGAAAGAAGGAAGCTAACGTTAACTGTCAAGGCTACTGTGAAATAGTAAGCTAGAAGATTACATAAATTGGTAAAACAATTTAGCCTAGCCTACTAAAACAAACACCAAAACATAACAGGAACTGTTAAGAATTGTAGAAATTTATGCTACAAATCGATGGAAAAGTGGTAACCTAGACTTCTCACCTTGACATTCTCCATCAGGTGTGGATCAATTTTCCGTTCTGACCTCAACATGACAAATTACTGAGTAGGCACCAATCAGAAGCAGCATTTTTATGATGTCATATCGTAGACTTCTCAGTAGTATTATTGCAGGAGCCATTTATGTTACTTTGCATTAGTATTTTGGACACTGGGTGACAGTCATTAGATGCACAAGGTTGTATATAAGTGGCATAGGTGACAGGAAGTGGGGGGCCCAGGTAGGGGGAGCACACACAGTTCTCACCAGACCACAGATTAGAACAGAACAGAATACACGCAACTGGAAACAGTAGAATGGGAAACCAACTGGTATGTTCATTTATTTGTACAACTATTTACCAAAAACAGGTACATCAAAATGGTACTCAATGGTTGTTAACAAGAGAACTTGCAACTAATTATGTTCCCCTACTCCTTAAACTATTCCCTGCTCTATCTAGGTGCATCGAGGCATCAGGGGCATTGTGAAGGACCAGCAGGGGAACCCCATTGCAAATGCCACTGTGTCTGTAGAGGGGATAAACCACGATGTCACTACAGGTCTGGTGAAAGACTTCCTCTCTTCCCCTCTTGAGTCTTATATGTTATAATTTGTTTTAACTCAGGTGCTTTGAAACAAAATATAGCACCCTCTGGACTTAAAACAAAACCTCTGCCCACTCTTTGTCATTGTAGCACCAACAGGGGACTTCTGGCGGCTCCTTAACCCAGGGGAGTACCGTGTAACAGCTCGAGCTGAGGGCTTCTCATCCGTCACCAAACTCTGTGTGGTGGGTTACCAGCCAGGAGCAACCGCCTGCAGCTTCAACCTGGCAAAGTCCAACTGGGACCGCATTAAACAGGTAAGGCACTACCATCTTGAACTGAACACGCCCTCATTACATGTCTAGTACTTAAATGCAATATTTAATTGCAATATAAATGTAATATTTATGAGGCTCTATTTACAGAAATGCAATATAATATACATTACTTTGTTTTCAGGGGTGTATAAAGACCTTACATAATGAAACGTTATGTTTTTATTACCTTAGAATCAGTCATTTCTATCTACATACACGAGGGCCGCCATGTTTCTACAGTAGCCCAGACAGACAAACTACTCTACAGAGCGTGTTTTGAGCAAGTAATGTTAGTAGTAGTCAACTGTTTTATTAGAATTAAGAAAAAAAGAGAAATTTGGACAAATGAAGGACCACATGTATTATTTAGCACAAGAGCCGACAGAGCGTGTCGGCCACCGTAGCTTCTCCTGAGCGCTTGGAAAGCAAGTGGTGAGCGGTGCATTCAAGTGTAGATGGGACATAAAGAAGTATACAGAACTTTGATTCGTGCAAAATCACATATTGCATATAAATATTTTGCAAACATGTAATTTGTAATATGGTTATAACGGTTATTTTGCTGTCCACGTAGAGTTAACTAGATGTCTGTGTTTTGTTTACATGCTCTGATAATGCTAATCCAACACATCTTTGTAGTAGCGTCCATGTTGCGTCCAAAATCAACTTAACAACTCTGTAAATGGTACCGTCCGAGGAGCACATGAATGCAACCGTGAGCTGCTGGTTGCAATTCCCAACCCTCACCACTAGATGCCACTAAACCTTTAATGAAGTGTGTTTCTCAATTTCCCTGCAGATCATGGCCCTTCACGGCAACAAGCCAATTCGACTCAGCTACAGCAACACCAGAGTACAGAACCCTGTAGTTTCTAACAGTAACAGGCGTGTGGTTGATGGCAACAATAACTATTCACATAATTCACGACTCAGAGATGAAAGACAGAAGCGCAAGTTAGACAAGTTAGCTCGTCTTTGTCGCCTTCAGCGCTTTCAACACCTTCGACAGTGTTTAAGATTTAAGACGACGACAACATTACCCCCAACAACCACAGTTCCCACAACGCTACCCCCAACAACCACAGTTCCCACAACGCCAGAGACCACCACATTCTGGTATGACTCGTGGAACATAGGGGAGGGAGAGTCGACGCCTGGCGGTTTCACAGACTCCATGCTGGATTATAACTACGAATACAAGATTGATGACTTTTGAACTAAACACACGATTCAGTAAACATGCAACCATCCTCCCATTCTTGTAGTTCTCATTGCCATGTTGTACTTTGAGCAGGTTGATAAAGAATCAAATGAAGAATCCCATCTTTGTATGGCATATATAGAATATTCACTATATTGATATAATATGTATCTATTACTTAACAAACTGACCCTGTTTGACAGTTCACCCTGCATTTTTCTGACTTGTTATAGGCTTTTTTATGAATGCTTTTTGCTTCATGAAAAGGTTTTTATTGTAGACGCACATTAACAACAGTCATGATTTTTTTTTTTTTTTTTTTTTTTTGAAAACACTTCCAACATACACCTTACTTCAGTGACTTTAAAACTAACCTTCATCTGAGTGATCACAGGGATATATCAATATCTGATCTGTTAACTGGTTGTATATGTCAGATTTCCCAGAGTTGTATTATGTACACTCGTCTCCACCCATGGCAGAAATGTTTTTACATTATGAACAGTCACTAAAGGTTTAAAATGCATTTGTTCAAAGTTGGAAACAGAGTCACAAGGAAAGAGTCTTCTGTCATGTTTCCTCAGACACAGCTGGGTTATTTTTCAAATAAAGGCTTGTTACTACACAACACTTGTCTTCTCTTTTTTTAGCACCACGGTAAACGCTGATTTCTGGTTAACAGGAGTTCATTGACCTTTACGATACTGAACAGCATCAGGGACTGTAATTCTTGGCCCAACGTTGATGTGATTAGTTTGTGGTCAGGAGAAATCAGTCTGAATATGCGTCAATAGTGTCCAAGAAGTGTCATCATGTACTGTATGTGGATATGGACCCTCAGTGGCTGATGTTCATCTCACTTTCCTCATCGTCGTCAGCGGAGAAGGCAGAGAAGCTGACTGGCTCACATTCAAGAGTACGTAAATTAACCAGGCATGCTATTTGGGTGCTGCTGAACTCTGGAATAGTAACCAAAAGGACTTCTTGGCCATCGGGACCTGGCAGGAAGAGAAGCAGAAGAAATATGTGAGCACATTAGTTAGAGGCAAAACAGTTAAAATGGAATAATATGGCCAAAATAATGTAAATGTCTCATTTATTTGGAGTCTCAAGAAAGAGCATAGCAATCATCAGTGATGTTTCTTATGTGTACATGTACACACCACACACTGACCTTTGATGAGCTTGGACTCAAAGGTTGGGGCATTGCCACTGAAGTAAACGTGGGGACACTCTTCCAAGATGAAAGGGTCTTTTTGGTAAAATGGGAAACAACCTGACACAAAATGTACACAGAACAGTAAATTATTTCAACCAATATCAGCCAGAAGGTTTGTGTTTTATTCTGCATCAACCTGTCTGACTAACCTAGAGTATCAGGTGCCGTAGGGGCCAGGTGTCGGAGTCGTAGCGTTTCCTCCAGTATTTCCAGGTGACTGTCCAAGCTGCTGTACTTCTGAATATCACAGACATTCTGGCCTGATGTGCCCAGGAACCTTGATGGAAACGCAAATACTGGACCTTAAACATCTGCAGATACAAGGCTAAATGCAAGATGGAGGACAGTGACTGTGACTGGCATTGCTTACCTCACGCCATCAATGTTAGCCATGTATGGATTGGAGGCCAACTGTAAGGTGGGGTACGCAGAGGACAAGGGGAACATACAGCGGTGGAGAGGCTGCTGTGGGAGGGTGTAGTTGGTGGGGTCATACTGGCCCGGCATTACATCTACTGGAACAGATGCCTACAACAGCAGGAGGCAATATTATTAGTTCATAATGATTTTCTATATACACTTGTGTTGAGTCATCGCCATCTTTGGTCACACGCATTAATTCATTCTAATGCTTATGATCTAGGAACTTTCTCAGTATACACTTCGTTTTCTCAACACCAATGTTATGCTACTGCTGACATGAGCAGCAGATAAATACTGTAATAGGTGTGAGTGATTAAAATCCACTCTCACTCTAAATTTAATTCTATATTGATGTATCACGACTGAGTATATTTTCTGGAAAAATCAAATAAAAAACTTTTTATGGATGTATAATCAGGCAGGAATAATAGAACCAGGGATTAAGATTAAGATTAAGAAGCCACTACAGTGTTAACATGGCATAATCTCTGGCGGTATGCAAGTATATATCAACTCATTGTATATGTTGTCATATTGCACAAAATAAAAACAAAACAAAAAGAAATAACATATGCATGCATAGAGGGGGAGGCAGACTCACCACCAGCTGAAGCAGCAACTCATCCAGCAGACGAATGGCCTCCACGCTGCCGGCCTGAGTCTTCTTGGTGAGGTACTTGGGCTTGACACACCAGGAAAGAAAAACAGGTATTTGAAAGTCTTTTACAAGTGCGCCTTTTGCTTATTTTCTCAAGGCGTAAAACAAACAAACAAACAAAAAAAAGAGATATACCCTCAGTGGCCACTTTCTTAGGTACACCTTTCTAGTACTGGGTTGGACCCCCTGTTGCCTTCAGAACTGCCTTAATTCTTTGTGGCATACTTTCAACAAGGTGTTGGAAACATTCCTCAGAGACTTTTGTCCATATTGACATGATAGCATCACGCAGTTGCTGCAGATTTGTTGGCTGCACATCCATGATGTGAATCTCCCGTTCCACCACATCCCAAAGGTGCTCTACTGGATTGAGATCTGGTGACTGTGGAGGCAACTGGTTCTAAAGCTGATGATACACAGACCAACTTTTAGAGCAATCGCGCAGGGCAACGTTGCCATCAATGGTAATGAGTAAAGATTACTACCGTAATCCCTTTCTCCCACCACCCGTCCCGCACCGCCGCTATCCGTTCAAAACATAGTCGGACTTGCCACTAGCAAGATTGCCCAACAACATTGCTCAAAAAGTTGCCCCGTGTATCATCAGCTTAAGGGGCCCAAAGCGTGCCAAGAAAGTATCCCCCACACCATTACACCACCAGGATGGATCCATGCTTTCATGTTGTTTATGCCAAATTCTGACCCTACCATCTGAATGTCGCAGCTGAAATCAAGACTCATCAGACCAGGTAACGTTTTTCCAGTCTTCTATTGTCCAGTTTTGGTGAGCCTGTGCGAATTGCAGCCTCAGTTTCCTGTTCTTAGTTGACAGGAGTGGCACCTGGTGTGGTCTTCTGCTGCTGTAGCCCATCTGCTTCAAGGTTCAACATGTTGTGCGTTCAGAGATGGTGTTCTCCATACCTTGGGAGTTTCTGTCATCTTGATCCCGTCTGCCCATTCTCCTCTCACCTCTGACATCAACGAGGCATCTTTGTCCGCACAACTGCCGCTCACTGGACATTTTCTCTTTTTCGTAACATTCTCTGTAAACCCTAGAGATGGTTGTGTGTGAAAATCCCAGTAGATCAGCAGTTTCTGAAATACTCAGACCAGCCTGTCTGGCACCAACAACAATGCCACGTTCAAAGTCACTTAAATCCCCTTTCTTCCCCATTCTGATGATCGGTTAGAACTTCAGCAAGTTGTCTTCACCACATCTACATGCCTAAATGCATTGGGTTGCTGCCATGTGATTGGCTAATTAGTTATTCATTATAACAATCAAATGAACAGGTGTACCTAATAAAGTGGCCAGTGAGTGTTTGTCAGGTTTAAACCACTTCCAGGTACCTTCGTTGATGCGTCCTTGTCCTGGGTGCTTTGGCTCAGGAGGTTTCCAGCCAGCAGGACCCTGGAAATTGTTGCTGCCCCACTCTGCTCCCTCTGGTCTCCGAGTTGACCTGTTACCATGTCAACCAGCAGCTGTAGCCCCAGCATGCTGTCGGCGTGACTACTGCCGAGACCAAGTCCCGAGGTCAGGAGCACAAACCTGGATGGCGACACACAACAGCATTAGGACCTTATCATAAAAGGCTGAAACCTAAGCTTTGTACGTTTGTTTACCTGTCAGAGCTGAGTACGGGTCTTGTTGTCTGCAGAGGAAGGTCAGCCATGCAAAACTCCTCAACTGTGAACTTCCCATCATTCCTTTCGGCTCCATATATTGCAATAACACTACCTGAAAAAGAAAGAGAAGGGACATACAAGAGACAAGCTGTAATGAGTGTAGGCATGGACCGGTTTCAAATTATGATAACTTTAAATATCACGGTTTCACAGTATTGCGTTAACAGCTCTAAAATATGTTATTTTTAAATGTCTGGGTTGTTTTCCACCCTACACACACAAGGAAGGGCCGCGGTACTCTCTACACTGCACGCAACCTGCGAGATTCCTGCACCTTCTGTCTTCTGACAACACATTAAAAACAGCTCATAGCGCAGCAATAGTATAACGTAAGATTTTAGTGGTTTTGAAACCTTGACTTTTTCATACCGCGGGATACCTTGAAACCAGTAACTGGCCCATGCCTTATTGAATAATGCAACACTGTGATTGTTTAGTGAAGTCACACTGACATCTTCTGAGTGCCTTGACATCAGGAACAAAATCTAACCTGTGACACACTTGTCTCTGTCAATTTTGCCTTCAAGTTTGATCCTCTGTAGCTCATCCTCCAGAATCAGTTCATCTGTTTCACTGATGTATTTGGCTCGTGCAGGCTGGGGCAGCAGGTTGTGCTAAAAGGAGAGAGAGAGCAAGATAGGAGACATGATTTGTGGCTTGTAGTTTCATTTTGTCTGGGATCAGCTGGTGAATTTAGCATGACTGCCTACCTCATCACTAATCTCTCTCAGGATAGATGGCTGCAAGTCCATACGCTTGAACAAGGTTCCCACAATGCAACATTGCTCCCCTGTCTGAAGATCACACAGCTTCCTGATAAGCACGTCCGATCCTGACAGAGACAGAAAAAGACAGATTTTTTTTTTAAATGCATGGACATATAAACCAGATGCTTTAGAGTCCCAGGTATAGGAAGCTTACCCCACTTCTGCTGGGCTCTCTCTGAGAGCAAGGGCCTCATCTGCATGAGTCGTGCTGCGTAAATATGAGCATACTGACGACTGAAACTCCTCTCCCCGACTTTGTAGCGCTCGGAGCAGGGACTGTAGGCCAGCAACAGTCTCTCAAACACCGGGCCCTGGTCCTCGGAGGCAGGGCGGCGGAGCAGAGAGGAGCCCTCCTTCTGGGCACTCAGGTCGGAGAACATGTCTTGTAGCAGAGGAGCGTTTACCAGAAATGTATCCACTTGGTTACATACACACTTAATGACTGCCGTGCAAGTTAACTTACATCTTATAAAGTGGGTTTAACAGGCTTGAAAGTCAAACGTTTTGAGCCTAACTTAGCGTGCAAAACACTATTGAAAAGGTCGTGAATGTAACAGATTTAACGACCTTACCTTTGAATAGGGGATGTCAAGCTTCAGCTGCTACCCGTCTTAAATCGGGTATTAAGTTATATTTTCAGATATCACTTATTTTAGTCCTTGTCAGCGAGGAAAAGAAACAATTCCCGCGAAATCACCCGCTTCTTCTTCTTCTTCGGGTTTTTTTACGGCAGCTGGCATCCATTGAGTTGCATTACTGCCACCTTCAGTTTTTATTTACCCTTTGCTTCCATTCATACTAAATCCATTTATATTTAAATATCCATTTCCTACCCTCCACACTCTCTCCATACTCCACTAAACTTTTTACTGTATTATCTATCCGTCCTATTTTTTTAACTGTGTTATCATTTCTTGTCTTTCCTGAGTAAATTTCCTGCATGTTGTCTATGAAGATTCTCAGTCATCCAGGTCATAGTTATCCAACGAAGGTTAAAATCAAGGGCAACTGGACTTGGTTGAAGTATCTTCAACCAAGTCCAGTTGGATTCCTGCATGTTATAAGAATATGTTCTGCTGTTTCAGCCTCCTGACATTGTTCACACATTCCTGTAGGATGTTTTCCTGTTATTAAAAGTGTGCTGTTAAGATTGCTATGCCCAATTCTCAGCCTACTTATTATCACCTGCTCTTTCCTCTTTGCTCCCCTACTTCTTGATATACCTACTTTACTTTGGACTCTGTGTAAATGTCTCCCTTTTATTGCATTATCCCAGCTCTGTTGCCATTGTTGATTTACACTTCTCCACACTATGCCTTTCCCCTCTGATTTTGATAATTTAATGTTGACATCCCCTTTTTTAACTGCTTCTTTTGCCACCTTATCTGCTTTCTCATTTCCCTGAATTCCCGAGTGTGCAGGGACCCATAGAAATATGACATTTTGCCCCTGCCGAGCTATTCTTGAATTCATAAATAAGACTTCATAAAGCAAGTCCAGGTGACTTCTAGTTGTGCATGTCTTCATGCTTATAAGAGCTGACACAGAGTCACTACATATTAATATTTCCTTATCACTAATTTGTTCTGTCAATTCCAACGCCATCAATATGGCAAACAGTTCTACTGCAAATACACTCAGACAATCAGATGTTCTTTTGCTAAGTTCTAACTGATACTTAGGAACAAGAACTGCAGACCCTGTTGTATCTGTTTGCATGTCCTTTGACCCATCTGTGAAAATCTGAATACTTTCCTTATACTTACATTCCCTATAGCTATAATATACACTAGTTACGTCGGCATTCTCATTATTGCGTTTAATCTCAAGTAGTTCCAAATCTACACATGGTACTTCTAATTCCCAGACAGGTCTGATAGGCCACACCACATTTGCACCAAACTTTTTATCATATAAATAATAATAATAATAATCCTTATTTGTAGAGCACTTTTCAAAAACAAGTTACAAAGTGCTTTAACAAGTGTAAAGAATAATACAAAAAAAAAGATAAGAGCATGAAAATTTAATATAAAATTAGTAAAATACAATAAAATAAAAGGGATAAAATAAAGTCAAATAAGATCGGGAAAAGCTCTCCTATAAAAGTATGTTTTAAGAAGGGACTTAAAAGAGTTCACTGACTCAGCCGACCTGATTTCCTCGGGCAGGCTGTTCCAGAGCCTCGGGGCCCTGACAGCAAACGCTCTGTCCCCTTTAGTTTTCAGTCGAGACTCTGGAACAGACAACAGACCTCTGCCCGAGGATCTCAAGGTACGTTCTGGTGCGTATGGGACTAAAAGGTCAGAAATATAATAAGGCGAGAGGCCATGAAGAGCTTTAAAAGTGATCAATAGAATTTTAAAGTCAATTCTAAAACATACTGGGAGCCAGTGTAATGAAGCTAAAATAGGAGTAATGTGGTCATATTTCTTTGTTCTGGTTAAAAGCCTGGCAGCTGAGTTCTGGACAGTCTGGAGTCGATCAGTAGATTTTTGGGTTAAACAGGTGAAAAGGCTGTTGCAATAATCCAGGCGTGATGAGATGAAGGCGTGTAAAATGGTCTCGGTGTCCTTAAAAGTTAACATAGATCGAATTTTAGCTATATTTCTAAGTTGATAAAAACATGATTGAACAAGCTTTGTGGTGTGCTGCTCGAAATTTAAATTACTATCAAACCCCTGTATCCCTTGCCATTTGCTCTCCTGTCCACCCAAAACTTGTTTTTTGTGTTGTCTGCTTCTCCCAGCACGTCTGCAGCACCCTTTTTGCTGGATGGCTCCATGCCCACTTAAATTGACCCAATAATTAGCCCCCAGCTGCTTCCTCCTCAACCACAATGGCATTTCACCTGCTTCTACTTGGGGAGCACATACTGGGGAGGTTCTAACCACTCTACACACCCTACACTCTTAAAGCCCGAGCTTGTATAACATCTAGGTCTGCTAACACAGATTTGGCTGCCGAACCATATACAATACTTCCATAGTCTAACCTTGATCTTATTAAGGCTATATATATATGTATTTCAGCGATGCTACATCCGCTCCCCACCCCAATCCTGCAAGACACCTCATGACATTTATAACTTTTTTACTCTTATCAACTACATATCTAATATGCTCCCTCCATGTTAATCTCACATCAAAATACACTCCCAAAAAACGAAAACTTTCGACTCTCTCTAAATTATTTCCATACAATTTCAAATACCATTCCCTGACTTTCTTTCTTGTGAAGAATATAACTTTTGTTTTTTCCACTGAAAACTTAAATCCCCATTTTGTTCCCCACTTTTCGACTTGATTAATTCCATCTTGCATTTTCTTAGCTACATATTCCACATTTCTCCCTCTTTTCCACAATGCTCCATCATCTGCAAACAATGATCTCCCCATATCAGTTGGAATGTTTACAAATAAATCATTTATCATAATGGAAAATAAAGTTGGACTTATTACACTCCCCTGAGGTGTCCTGTTTTCTACTATATATTGGCTAGATAGTTCTGCTCCTATCTTCACCTGAATAGTTCTTTCATTTAAAAAGTCCATAATCCAATTGAACATTCTCCCTCCAACACCCATTAAGTTTAGTTTAATTAGCAATCCTTCCTTCCATAACATATCATATGCCTTTTCCACGTCGAAAAATACTGCAACCATTGTCTCTTTATTTACTTGGGCTTTCCTTATTTCATCTTCTAGTCCCAGCACTGGATCTATGGTACTCCTTCCCTTCCTGAAACCGCTTTGGTATGATGCCACCATTTCTCTTTCCTCCAAGAAGTATGTTAACCTCTCATTCACCATACGTTCCATTAACTTACAGATATGAGACTTCAAGGCAATTGGTCTATAGCTTCCAGGTCTGCTGGCATCTTTTCCAGGTTTCCTTATTGGAATTATTATAGCCTCCTTCCAACTCCCTGGTATTATTCCATCTACCCACACTGTGTTATACAACATCAATAATTTTTCCAGATTTTCTTCACTTAGATGCTTTATCATACAATAACATATTTCATCTTTCCCTGGCGCCGTCTGTCCCGCTTTGTCTAGTGCCCTTTTTAACGCTCCTATTGTAAAGGGGACATTCAGTCCATCCCCCACACTACTTTTCCTACCTAAAGCCTCCATATTTTCAGATTTTGTTTTCTCTCTACCTCTTCTACCTTCTTCCTGCATATTATTTGAGCTATGTACCGTAACAAAGGTTTTTGCCATTAGCTCTGCCTTCTCCCTATTTGTTACTGCTGTCTCATTACCCTCAACCAGAACCGGGTAACTCCATTCCCTCCTGCTAGTTTAAATGCCTTGTTTCTATTTCTCACTGCTTCTTTGCACTCATCATTCCACCATGGTACTACTTTCTGCCTTGTCCTTTGCTTTTAGGAATTGATTCTAGTGCCGCCAATATTATACCTTGCTTTAATTTACTGTCCAGTGTTTCTATGTTCATCCCTTCATTAATCTGACTTAAATATCTATCACTTACATCAAGAAATTTCTCCCAATTAGCCTTCTCAAAGATCCATTTCCTCCCTGTGTTCTCTATGACCAGTGGTGTTGCCATATTTATCTTGCACCAAACTGGATAATGATCACTCCCTATAGTTCCTTCATGGTACACTGAACAATCACATACTGATGCCATGGAATTTGATACCAAAGTGAGATTTAACACAGATTCTTTTCCTGTATGTATACCTATCCTAGTGTTACTGCCATTATTTAAGCATACTAAATTCTATTCATCAAGTAAATCTTCTATCACCTGACCATTCGTGTCTGTTCTATCACTACCCCATAATGTGTTATGTCCATTAAAATCTCCACACCAAACAATATTACTACTATTCTGCCCTTCTATCTCTTCCAGCTTCATTAATTCTAGTTTTTTGTACGGGTTATAATAATTCACAATCGTTACTTCTTTCCTTTCCCACACTTTCACTACCACGTACTCTTGTTCTCTTCCTATCCGTAAAATCCTGTAATGAATGCCCTGCTTTATAAAAGTGACACAACCCCCCCCCCCCCCCCCCCGTCCTATCTCACCTCACCTAGAACAAAACCCAAGTTTGATTTTAACCAGGATTCTTGGATACATACAATGTCTGGTTTTTCCTCCCTATTACCTATAAACTGTTTGAAGTCTTGCCCATTAGCTATCAAGCTTCTCACGTTCCACTGAAGAATTAAAATGATTAGTATTAGGACTATCAACCCACACATGCTGTCTCTTGACTTGACTGTATACTAAGTTCATCTCTTACTTCTTCCCACCTTAATCCTATCATATCCAAATGGTGCACTGCAGCTTTTACTATGACCTGGATCCTTTCAGTTGTTGCATTTATCACTCCTGCAATGAATGTCACCAACTTCTTCTTCTCTACCCATGCCTTCTTCTCATCTTGCTGTTTCCTCCCCACCACTTGCTCTTTGCTACATCCTCCCTCCTTATGCTTCTTAATCTCTCCTGCCATCTTAACTGCCTCAGCATATGATACTTTTTCTTTACTCGAATTTGTTGCATCTGCACCTCTTGCTTCAATACCTCACATCCCCAATATGCAACGCTGTGATTACCTCCACAGTTACTACATTTGGGACTCACTCCCTCTCCACACTTTCCATATCCATGATCCCCCCCCCCCCACATCTACCACATTTCCTCTTTCCTTTGCATACTTTGGCTACATGTCCAAACTCTTGGCAGTTGAAACATCTCATAGGTTTTGGTATGTATTCCCTTACATTATATCTCACAAAGCCGCAGTAAACCTCCTTTGGAATCACCTTTTCTCCAAACTCTACCAACACAGTTTCAGTCTCAATTTTCTCTATTCCTCTTGTCATTCTTTTCACACTCTTAACTGATCCCTCCCTCACTTTCAGGTTCTCCATTAGCTCCCTCATACTGACACTTAGAGAAACTCCAGATATCACCCCTTTGCTACCATTGATTTTTTTTGTTCTCCAACTCTTATAACCTTAGACACTTTGATTTTTCCAATGATAGTCATCCTCTTTGCTTTCACCACTTGTTCTTCACTACTACACCCTATTAGCAAGTTTCCATCTCCTAATACTTTTGCATAATTTACTTCCCCCACTTGCCCTCGAATGATTTTTGTTAGTTTCAATGGATCGATTTTCTTTACTCCCCCCTCCCCCTCAAATCTTATCAATACATTAAGCGCTCCTGCCTTTGGATTCTTCTCTCTCACTTCGCTTAGACTAGTTGTATTTTTCTTTCTCTTAAACCTACATGCGTTCCTGTTCTCTCTCCTTCTTACCACGTCTTTCCACTCTTTTCCTCCCCCCTCATCTACGAAATTTCCCTCTTCCTCACTAAACTCCATACTGTTACTATCATCTGTCTCCCTCCCTGCCATTCTGTCCGAGTTTGTAAGGAACCCCGCAGGACTTCTGTTCCGGACCTACACAGGTCTATAGTCCTGCACAGTGTTCCCCACAAAACCCAATTCTACAGTTAGAAAATCGGAATATTCGCTACTTCAACTGGTATACTCAACTTCAAACTCAACGCCAAACAAACAAATTAGATTTTTCCCAATCCGAGCCCTCTGTGTTGTGTCAGCACACTCTACAATGAGCTCTGTCGCTCTGGCCCACTCGAAATCACCCGCTCAACAGAACGTGTTTTTCGAGGCGGACGCGAATTCTCGCGAGAACTAGCAAAGCAAGAGAAAACAGGATATTAGACTAATACAAAAACGTAAACCTTAACGAATATGATCTACATAGACATTTAGACAATTTGATGGGTACCGAACAATAATCCAAGATTTTTTAAAAAGCTGATACCGGTCTAACCTTTTTTTTCTAGCCTCGTCGCACAGAGTTGACGTCACGCTTAATATACATATGTCGCACTGAAATGAGGTCACAATAGCGTCGCGGCAGCACGTAGCCTCGCCATTTTCGCAGCTCTTTGTGCGCCACTGTCTGCTAAGAGTTTGCGTCTTTTTATCGAGCGATTCGTCGACTCGGGTTTTAAGTCTGTCGCAAAAACAAAAATGCAAGGAAACAGAGGCCCCCAGCAGAACCATGGCCCCAACCGCCCGGGAGACCAGAAGAAACCCGGAGGTACAAACACGAACGGCCAGCAGCCTGAGCACAGCGAGCAGACCAATCCCAATGAGGCCTTAACCCTGGACCTGCAGAGCTTCAGGAAGCCCGGGGAGAAAACCTTCACCCAGCGCAGCAGGCTGTTTGTAGGAAACCTGCCAACCGGAGTTACAGAGGAGGATCTCGAGAAGCTGTTCTCCAAGTACGGCAAGGCCAATGAGATCTTTATTAACAAGGAAAGAGGCTTCGGCTTCATCCGGCTGGAGACCAGGATCATAGCAGAGATCGCCAGAGCCGAGCTGGATGATGCTCCGTTCAGAGGCAGACCCATACGGGTGAGGTTCGCAACGCACGGTGCTGCTTTAACTGTGAAAAATTTGCCAGATTTTGTGTCCAATGAGCTGCTGGAGGAGGCCTTTGCGGTGTTTGGTCAGATAGAAAGAGCTGTGGTCATAGTGGATGACAGAGGGAGGCCCACGGGGAAGGGGATAGTGGAGTTCACCTCAAAGCCAGCTGCAAGGAAGGCTCTAGATAAGTGTGGTGACGGAGCCTATCTTCTCACAGCTTTTCCTCGACCTATTACTGTGGAACCTATGGAACAGTTTGATGAAGAGGAGGGGCTGTCAGAAAAGCTCATAAACAAAAACCAGCAGTATCACAAAGAGCGTGAGCAGCCGCCACGATTTGCTCAGCCGGGCTCCTTTGAGTACGAGTATGCCATGCGTTGGAAGGCCCTGATGGAGATGGAGAAGCAGCAGTACGACATGGTGGACCGCAACATGAAGGAGGCTCAGGAGAAGCTGGAGGCTGAGATGGAGGCGGCCAGACACGAGCATCAGGTGATGCTGATGAGGCAGGACCTGCTGAGGCGGCAGGAGGAGCTGCGCAGGATGGAGGAGCTCCACAGCCAGGAGGTGCAGAAGAGGAAACAGGCAGAGCAACGGCAGGAGGAGGAACGCCGGAGGAGAGAGGAGGAGATGAGGATGCGCAATGAGGAGATGATGAAGAGGCAGCAGGAGGGCTTCAGAGGCAACTTCTCTGAAAACAGGGAGCAAGACATAAGGATGCACATGGGCAACCACGGGATGAACAGAAACTCGCTGGGTGGCAGTTCTGGTCCTGCTGGCACTCCCGGCATGGTTGCTGAGAGCGCTCCAATGATGCCGGGACCAGGAAACAACAACATGCCCGGAGGAGGCCAGGGTGGCTTTCCCAGAGGCCTCCCAAGCCCCGGAGACTATGGACCTAATAAGCAACGTAGATTTTGAATCACATGTTGTCCCGTCCCGCCCCCCCCCCCCCCCCCCTTTTCATACTCACTGTATTTTAAAGTTCAGGTAGTCCGTGTTACTTTTTGAACTTTGAAAGCTATTGCATGTATTATTTTTTTTACTTTATTTGTATTTTTGAGTTATGTTTTAGTACTAAAATGCCGTAACTCTCCAATCGAGCCATGTGTTTTACTTTGTTTTTCACCTCTAATGTACTTTTCATAGGGATAGAAAATGTTTTTGTCCTGGACGTTGTTGACTTTTTCTGGAATAAATTCACGATTCCCTAAGAATTTTGTTTGACATTTAAGTTTTCTCTGCGTCTTTCTAAATGGAAATGTGTCACCCTTTCAGTGTGATCAGTTTTAATCACATAACTGACTAAATGAAGACGTGTTTTATCTTCATCATGCCAGCCAGCGTAGCAAACAGTAGGTCTCTTTCATATGTTATCATGACATTTATAGCAGGAAAAGCACTGTTGTAATTAATAAGAATGCTCACTGGGACGCAGTGGAACAGAGCCAAAAGTAATGTTATTGATTACTCCTATGCTTTTACTGCTATGGGACTAAGTGTGTGCCGTTTAAAAAGGCGTGTAATGCTCACCACTTCTTATTGACTGCTGAGTCCCTTGGCAGTTCACCACCTGCCGAACTAGACATATAGTGACTCATCCACTGTGTCGCCAAAGAGGAATCATACCGTGTATGCATACCTTCACAGTGATAGCAACCACAGAATAGATGAACAGAGTCCTTAAATGTAATGAGTCACTGTAACCAACTCTGATTAATGAGACATTACTTCCTCCTGCTGTCGACAGTAGGGGGAAGTATTAAGACACTGGTCCAATTATCCAACACACATTGTCTTTTTTTTGTCCCATCGTTAATAAACAGGATGAATGGTCCGTTATCAGTGATGCAGAAGTAAGTTAAAGTTGAACAGACAGCGCTGTGAATTGCTTAATTTAGTTAAAGTTTAAAGGTCAGATTTCATCGATCTCAGCTGTGTAAAACACAAGTTTTAAATGTTTTAAAATGCTGTTTCAGCGCACTCCTATTGCAGTATCAACACGTGCCATGTCAGTCATCTGTAACGTCGGCATACATCACAGTCTAGTGTTTGACTTTCATGTATTAAACCTCTCATCTAGAGACCTTTTGAGATGAAACCCAAACAGAAACACCATGCAGAAGTCTGGATTGTAAACAAGAGCTGTGTTGATGGACTGAAACTGTTTAGTCTTGCATAACAGTTTCAGAAGAGCCGGGTTATATCATCATACTTTGAGTTGTTGTGGAGGAGGATCGCAACTGCTCAGTACAAACCAGACATCTGGACTGAAAGTTTAAGAGGCAGTGGTTAATTAGAGAATTCTGAACGTCCTAAAGGTGAAAACATCCAGCTGATTTGTCGCCCTCCCTCATAAAAAGAGAGCATCTGATGGTAATTGCAGATATTTAAGGATCCTCCTATCTCCATCACGCACAGGTTTTATATCCTCTCAGAGAGTTTTCAGCTGATAACTGAAAACTCTCTGACTTTTCCGAGGAAACTTACCTTCACCCGAGTCCAAAAAGTCCAGATAATCAGCTTGCTCCACCATCCAGCACAATGAGAGCGCCATAAATAACGACTGATAAGGACTCAGACCATAAAGAGGGGAAAGTGTGATATCTTGAGGTGAGATCAGCAAAACGTATTTAGATAGTTTTTGTTTTTCAACTGTACCTTGGAGGATGAATGGCAACAGATTTTCTACACTGTGTAAGATTTGTCTTTTTATTATCAATCATGAAACAGAAGGTTGTGAGCCTGCACTCTAGACAGCCACAATGATTTGGTAGATATTTGTTACTAATTATTCCTTATATTTTAACATTCTGTATACGCATAATTTTATGTGCATAATAATTGAAAGTCTGCATGATGATAATAATTTTACATGTAAGATTAAATAAATCAGACTATTCAGCATAGTAAGTGTTTGTACCTTCAATTAGCATTTTTTACTTGTCAGGAACTTTTTGAATGAATTAGTATAATTTACATAACTTTAGGTTTGATGTTTGAATCTTTTTCATTGTCATGTTACCACGGACTTAAAATGTTACACCCATATTCATCATGTAACAAGAGAAAATGCTGAGCGGTGTCAGTGCACTTAACGTTTATTTGAGCATCTGTTTAGTACTATAGTAATTGTAGTTATTACACAGAAATATGCATTGCAATTAAAGTAAAATGTATTTTTACAAATAAAGTAATGCAGTGCTAGGATACTTATTGTGAGAAGTACTCCATTTCCCTTTCAGTGTTAAAATGCACAGACACACACACACAACTCACACAAAAACTGATATGTACTGTAATGCTGCTAGTATAGGTACTTTGAAGGTTCGTGTAGGCTAAGTAAACGAGGTATCATACAACCTATCATTTTGCTGTCAGAGCAATAGGCCTATAATGCAGGAAAAAATAGTAAAAGTAAAAAAAAAACTAACAAATTTAAACTGTATTTTAGTACTTGAGGAAGTATATGATTTTTTTTTATCATTCTTTATCAATTTATTAAGGCTCACAGCATTAACGTCCTTGGCTTTTATATAAGAACATTTTATGTTAATAAAAAATAATACTTTCGCAACAAGAGTTAAGTCAGTGTGTTTAATACTTAATTAACCCGCATATTACAACAGATAAAATATCACACGTAAGAGAACAACACAAACTGAGCATTACATTAATATTTCTCTGACATTCTCTGTAGGGGTCATGAACTGATTTATTGTAAGTTTGGAATTAATTGTATATAGGTTAATTTGGTTGCTTATTTGTTGTTGCGCATTTTTGGTAAGTCACGTGGATGTGTGTGGTGATTTCTGTAGTTAATTTAAGCACCTGTTCAACTCCAGGAGGAGATAGGGGGTGAACAAATAGGATGCTGGATTTTTTGTTGAACGCTGTAAATTTTTTATTTACAGTGATTATTTTGAATATACATTTTGCACATTATGTTAAGTTGCGTAAACATTACAGACTACATTTTTCTGAGATTCACAAATTATTTGTGCAGCGAGTCGGACAAACAGCACCACAAGGCACTACCTCAAGCCTCTTAGCGACTACTTTGTTTTGGCTTTTAAGTATAGTTGCTACATTCTCAACAGAAATTTAACAAAATCAATGATAAACATAATGGAAGTATTTATAAAATAAAATAAATGTTACATTTTTGTTGTCAGAGAAATACTGATTTTAAGTATCTGCAAGGCTATCACATTTTATGTATTAATCAAGTGTTTCTGTTAATTTTGTCCAACCTCTGAATTTACTTTGTCAGATAATTCAGGTATAAAAGGCTGTCCTTCAAAAATTCTAATTAAAAAATATTATGTATTCAATAACATATTTTGTTAATGTAATTAAACTGTGTTCTTTTTGCATGTTGCGTTGTGTAACTCTGTTTTGCAAAGCTGTTGTAATCCTTGAATATCTAATACTGTAATCTAATGTGTTTTTATACAATTATCATATACTTTTTGTAAATTTAAAACCATAATTATACAGTATGTAGGCTTTGTAGTCAAGCCCTTGCTGTTACACTGAAGTCTAAAACACAGCAATAGTCAAATCCAGCCTGTTTGTTTTGTTGTATTTTAGATGACTTAATTTCATTCAGAAATAAAGATGCTTATTGAGTTGTTTTGCTAAATTTTTTATAGATAAGATAGATAAAATAAAAACATTTATGAATGGGAAGAGTCCCTTGCACATATGGGGATAAAGTGTATTCTGGCATTCAAAGAATTGGAGCCACAACTCTGTGTTCCTCTCAAAGTAATACAAAGATGATAAAACAGAGTGGCAATAATATAATAAAGAGATAAATAGGAATAAATATTCATTTATTCACAGAAGAACAAGTTAAAACACTGTAGAAAGTAGAAAAAGTTAGGTATTTTCAGATGAATGTAACTTTAGCGCTACAAGGCCAATGTTACAGCCCTCTCTTGTAATGCAATTAACAAACAAATAAACAGATACCACTGCTGATAAATCACAACATTAACATGTGGATTTGAACACACTGTAGAGTTTGCTGGTGGCAAAATTGTGTGTCGTGACTTATCAGCATATGAAGAACAAAGAACATAACCATATCTGCCTCATTTCGTCTTGTCTTTTTTACCATCTCTGTTTATCAGAAATTGAATTGCCTATGCACCTTCGCCCTGATAGCTCTGATGCCCCAGTGGCATAACTGTGGAGCCTCGGTTGTTTTATTTCAGCTGTGACCTTGACATGTGATAACAACATTAATTACAAAGTTGATCTTAGATTCTAGGATGCGATCCAGGAACGGATCAATCAAGTTGAATTGGCAAGGCAGCCTGCTACCATCAGTCATTGGGTTTGACTTTTATGCAATAAAGTCCCTCAAAAAACCTTTTGTTAGATATAAATGTATTAGCAGAATTCTCTCTGCACCTTATAGATCGGATTTCCTGCTCACAGCAGTGTGTCCTTACATGATGGTCTAAAGGTCATGTCAGGCCTACTGTAGTGTTTGCATGTTTATGCTTTACACTGCCCTAACAACAATTTCAAAAGTCCTATATGTTGCTGGCAGTGAACAGACTGATCTAATTCAGTTCAACCAATGTCTGTATCTGTCTTCATTAGGAAGAGGAGTGTCAGTAAAAATATATGACTTAGGTGAAATACTGGGTGCGGTTGTTATTTTGTTTTCTCCTCTAGTTTCTCATCAGATTTGGATCTCTCCTGCAACTTTACCAGAATCCCTCCCATGTTAATTATCAGACAGGAGAATTGATCATACATAGCTACGATTGGCCAGCCGCAGCATCACACCAGATAAGAAATGTGTGATATCACAGGAGTGGTGACGTTTGACATGTCGTGATGTTTCCCCTTCCCCAACCCTAATCCTGTCAGACAGACAGACAGATAGGCAAAAGTAGAGAGAGGACAACTTAGGACGCACAGAGCACCTCTCACTGTCTTACTTTGTCTAATGCATCTTCCAATAGGACGGCGGTGATTAATATACACTCCATTTTACTGGACCCGAGGACCCTGACTCTCCTGTTACAGAAAGACTCTCAAGAATCATGGTCCGTGTCGCAGCCCTGATCACTTTTTTGACTTGTATGGTAAGTATGTCTGGTAGTTTTTCTTTATAAGGGTTACTAGGATATGACTTGTGACCAGGACTTAACTGTAGAATAATAAGTGAAATTTCTTTTGTAATTTAAAGACTAAATTGAATAAATCACTTACAGATAGTAAAGAAAATGTCATAATTGAACTGTAATTACTGATCCGGGTTTTGGTAATCACAAACGTACTACAGTTGAATTTGTTTAGGCAGGAACGCAACATAAATGTCAAAGCAAAAATTACATGTGAGCGCTTTCTCACATCTTTGCATCCAAAGCCAAGGTTAGAGAAGTGTTTGTACAGGCAGCAACAGATCTAGTAAATCATTTAGATTAATGCCTCCTTAGATAAATATACTTAGATAGTCGTTGTAAATTCTACTGTATGGAAAAAGTTAAATAGTAAAAATCCTATTTAAATTAAGTAATCTAATGTAAACTGGTTTCCATATTTAAACTAGTACTGTTCAAAAGTAACATGCTTAAACATGTCAGTGACTTACATCTAGATTAATGTCATTTTTCTGTTTTTGGGTTTTGGTTCATGTTATAGAGCAAAAATGAGATATAAAGTAAATCAGGCCTGCATGAATGAATGCACTTTGTCATAACTTCAAAATTAGGATTAAATAAAATAAAAAATGACATATTCCAAGAGTCTGTGTTGGCTTACACAAACTACTGTCGACCAAAGTACGTTTACATAGAAGTAAAAACAAAATCGTATGAAGGAGTAAATAGCTATGCTAACTTTCAAAAAATAAAAGTAAAACACTGGGCATTAGACGGATTTCAAAAATACCAATGGACAAATAGTGAGAGCTGAATGGATAAATAATTGTCAGTTTTACCAGTTTACAAAGTCTTGATAAATTGTAAAGTATATGGAAAGATAATTATTAAAGAAGTAATAAATGCTTAATTTGAAAATATGTATCAATTTGAAATTGATATTTGGTCATCTGTAGTAATTAACCTTGAACATTCTTCATTTTATTTGTCTTGAACTTGCATGGTGGCATTAAGCAGCTGGCATGGTAGGCCACAGTACAACACTTACAATCATTATGACACAGTTATGGTATTAATGTTTTAATGCTGTAATGAAATAAAAATAGCATCCTGAGCCTTTTATTTGTTATTGTATTTATGTTAACTAGTGTTTCATTGTAAAACATGGAGATAAATGTAAGGTAGTGCCAATAAACTATACATAATATATATCAAAATTACAATATAAGAGAGTTAATGTTGAAATGTCTTTGACTTGTGAGTGGAAACTGCATTTAAATGTTTCCTCCTCTTGTCTACATGTCACAAGTGTGCCTTCTTCTTCACTTACCTGCAACACAATGTGATTTCCCCAGCTGTGATTTTGTTTTTGACAACTTTGTCTTCCATGCAGGCGCTGTCATTAGCCCAACATGAGGAGGGCTACTGCGCTTTCTATGAGGAGTGCGGTCGTAACCCGTCACTAGGAGTCACTCTCATTCCTCCTATCGTCCCCTGTCTCAACTACAGTCGTGCCCGTCACCTCACAGGAGAGCACTACAAGAAACTCCAAGAGGTTTGTAAAACCTGCTTAGAGTTTTAGTTGAAGCAGAGAACAGGACTGAATAAAGCATGGTAGAGTAGGTATATTAATAAGTATTCTTTGTCTATACCTTTGACAAGAAGTGAGCTTGTGTTTCAGTCTGTCATTTTATAAAATAACACCTGTTCTTGCCGCAGGTGTGTCCCATTTTGGACCGTGGAGAGAACAACACATACGCCTGCTGCTCCATCAAACAGCTGACATCCCTGGAACTCAGTCTGACCCTGTCCAAGGCTGTGCTCGTCCGCTGCCCTTCCTGCACTGAAAACTTTGCTCACCTGCACTGCATCAACACCTGCAGCCCCAACCAGAGCCAGACAGTAAAAGTCACAAAGGTCATGAATGTCACTTACCTGGGCAAGAAGAAGGAAGCCGTGGTAGGTTACCAGTCATTCATCAGCAGCACCTTTGCAGACACTGCCTTCCAGTCTTGTAAAAATGTCAGGATCCCTACAACAGGGGGCTTTGCCATCGCCACCATGTGTGGTAAGTATGGCGCCAAGCTGTGCAACGCCCAGCACTGGTATGACTTCCAGGGAGACTCTAGTAATGGCCTGGCCCCACTGGACATCGATTTCAACCTGATAAAAGAGGGAGACACTGAGGGACTACCAAAGGGTGTGATTCCCTATAATGGACGCGCTCTAAAGTGTAACGAGACCACGCCATCTGGAGGTATGGTCTGCTCCTGCCAGGACTGCCAAGAGTCATGCCCAAAGATGCCGCCTCCTCCACTTCCCCCCAGCCCCTTCAGACTGTTGGGGACAGACGGCTTCCTTGTGATTTCTATCATCTTACTCTGTCTCCTGATATTTTCCTTCCTTCTCTACATCTCCGTCGCTTGCTGGGTGAAGTCTCGGAAAAGACAGGATGGAATGAAAGGGAAGAAAAAGGGGAAAGACCAGAACAGTAATAATGTAACTCAGCAGGTCATTGATCCATCAGAGGTGACATGTGCTGAAAGGAACACCATGGCTGCCCAAGCTTTCCTAAGCTTAAAGTTTTGCCAGTGGGGAACCCTCATGGCCACATATCCCCTAACGGTTAGTTTCACCAAAGGATTTTTAACTAACACAAGTAGAATAAATTATAGTAGGCATTGATACAGACAAACATTAGCACCATTAGCTATTGGTCATTCTAGAGAAAGTAAGGCTCTGAGTGAATTTCATGCATTGCATTTTATTGCTTGTGAATTTTTCATTTATGACAGAAAGAATGTGTTGTCTTCTTTCAAAACTTAACACAGCCTTGAAAGGCTTTAAAGCAACTGTGTGTAGAATTTTAAAATGTGTTGACCCTCTGTGGTAGCGTCGAACCGAGCCGTCTCAGAGACACTGAGAAGAATAGACTTAAAGCGAAGCAGAGCAGAGCACACACATTTTCACCAGGACTGTCTAATTTTCCTGCAAACAAACAAAAAGCTTGTCTGCCAATTAAGAGGATGTGTCACAGTTGTTAATGTTTTATTTTCATTCAAGGTGCTCCTGTTGTCAGCTATAGTCGTTGCTGTTTTCTCTGTTGGCCTGAAGTCCATTGAGCTCACCACTGACCCAGTCGAGCTGTGGTCTGCTCCCAACAGCCGCGCCCGCCAGGAAAAAGACTTCCACGACACATATTTTGACCCTTTCTTCAGGACGAACCAGGTGATCTTGACAGCACCCGGCAGAAAAGGCCACATTTACGACTCGTTGCTGTTTGGACCACAGAACTTTAGCGGGCTCGTATCCAAAGATCTCATCATTGAGCTGCTGGAGCTCCAAAAACGCATCACGGTAAAGAGCTCAGAATCAAAGTTGACAGTTGACGGTGTTTGCAAATGTTACCATTTGATTTTGACACACTGATGACCTCTTCCATGACTTTTTCAGAACATTGAGTTCTGGTCAGAGGATTTGAACCGCACAGCAAGTCTGAAGGATGTTTGTTTTGCACCGCTGAACCCATCCAACCCCTCCCTGACGGACTGTGCGGTCAACAGCTTGCCACAGTACTTCCAGAACAGCCTGAAAAACATTAACGCTAAGGTGAACATGACAGAGCTGGGAGTGACCAAAGAGGTGGACTGGAGAGACCACTTAATCTACTGCCTCAAGTAAGGATTCAAATGAAACCGGTAGTGGGGGGGGGACTTTTGTTTCGATCTGTAATTGCTCAGAAACATTAACATAACCTTCTCTTCTCCCATCTCTTCTCAAGCTCTCCCCTGTCCTTCAAAGACATCACTGATTTAGGTATGAGCTGCATGGCTGATTACGGAGCGCCAGTCTTCTCTTTCCTGGCTGTGGGAGGCTATGAGAGTGAGTGACCTTTTCGGCACCATCCTTTAACACATGAAATGCCTACAATAAATGCAAGAAGGCAACTCACTTGAACATTACACGTCTTGTCTTTCCCAGATGACGACTTCACCAACGCTGAGGCTTTCATCCTGACTTTCTCACTCAACAACTATGCTCGCACTCATCCCAAGTTCAAAGTGGCAATGCAGTGGGAGACAGAGTTTCTTAAAATTGTCCAGGACTACCAGAAAAACCCTGCCACTAACTTCACCTTTGCATACATGGCAGAGGTACAGTGAAATCTGCAGCTGACCTGCGGTCACAGTTTTTTCAAGGGGTTGTTGAGTGCTACTCTTTTACCATCACCTCACTTTTTAAACTCCTAAGCCAATAATTCTTTCCTTCACTCTTTCTACAGAGGTCTCTGGAGGATGAGATTAATCGGACAACAGCGGAGGACATCCCCATCTTCATGATCAGCTATGCTGTAATTTTTGTTTACATTGCTGTGGCCTTGGGGGAGTACACTTCATGGAAACGCATACTGGTAAGCCTTCAGAGAGTAATTTCTACCTTCATTATAATGCATCATTTCAGATTACAAGGCTTTTTTAGCCACTGAAGGTCGGTCCACCACTTTGGTCCAGACTAGTCAACAATTAATCAATGGATTGCCATTGATTTTTGCACAGGCGCTCATGGTCCCCAGAGGATGAATCCCTCTCACTTTGGAGATCATTCGACTTTTCCTCGAGTATTCCTGCTCCCCAGCCATACAGTTGACATTTGTGGTTTTAAATGAAATGTCTTGGCAGCTGCTGGATGGATTGTCTTTAAATTTGCTACTCACATCCACGTTCAATTCTGGATGAATTGTAATAACTTTCGTGGTCCTCTGACTTGTCATCTAGCCATCAGGTCATAATTGTACTTGTCATCATCATCAGGTCATAATTGTACTTATACATTGTCCGATACATTGGTTTATGACCAAATAGCTGCCGAGCTAATGCCTTTTCCATCAAGCTCAGCTTTACACTATGTTGAGTTCTATACATGCTACCATGCTAAACTAACATGGTAAATTATATTCCTGCTAAAGTATATCACCATGTTAACATTGTCGCTGGGAGCATGTTAGTACGTTGATATATGTATTCAGCCACTATTGTGGTTAAGAACAACCTCACAGAGCCACTAGTTGTTTTACTATAACAAATGTATACAACATGTGCCTGGGATACCACAAGCCTCCACCAAGAAAGTAAAATTGATGAAACAGTACTTATCACAGGCCTACAGGATAATGATGTGGATATGGAAACACAGCTGTGTCAGCTGTAAAGCTCTTATCTTTACAGTGATGCACATAGTTTATATTAGCCATGAAGTTAAGACATTACACAGCAAAAGATATGGAAAGAAAAAAGGAAAGGGTTCACTGAGTTGAACATACACCTGGGTGCAGATTTTCTAAAGGTTTGCGTGAGTAAAAACGTGTGCAAACCTGATAACACGGAAGCTGATCTACTAACAGTGCGCACACAGAATGATTTCTTTCAAAAGTGCAAGAAAGCACCTGTTATTCATTAAGTACTTTTGTCTTAATGAATATGCACTTTGGCGCGGTTTAAATTTTTTGTCCAAAGTAATGGGAGGGTAACATGCAAATACATTAATTTACTATACGCAATGTGATCTACCAAGCCTAAACGCAATTTCATGTGAGTACAACAGCATCTGTATTTACCCTAATGCGTTTGAAAAGAAGGTGCAAACCGCCAAGTGTTGCGCAGAGATGGCTGCTGTAATTATTGCCAGAAGGACAGGCTTAATGAAAGAAGACGTAAAGAACTTAAACATATAAATTTTAGACAATATTATTCTATATCCAATATATAGAAATACAATTTTATTTTATTTATTCGATGAACTATATGAATTGAATTGTTTTTTCAATTTTTCTTTAGATTTGGCAATACTGTTGTATTAACATTCATGCCAATAAAGAATATTTCTTTACAACTTATTTTCTCAGTGAGATATGGACTAATTTAGAAAGTTGCATGTTGCTGCAGAGATCCCCCAGCTGCAGTAGTGCATGGATTATGCGTAAAAGTTTTCCAGCCAGAGGGAACGATCACCAACTCTTCACAGCACACGCTCGTAATAGCAACGCAACGCACTGTAGGCATCGGAGAGAGGGAATGGGGACATTGGGGTGGACAGGGCCAGGGAAAGGAGATCATACCATTTCCACATACTTGGGACGCACTGAATGAAACAATTCAAGGTTTTTACACAGTGGTTGCTTTCCCTCCCGACTCTCCAAGCCGGGAACTATTAAAATACATAAAATCTTCATTTAAATACTGCCACCTCCATTGTGTTAGCTCCTGTAAGAATTCTTAGTAGCATAAATCACTCATAACAGGTACTAAAGTTGCAGGTGCAATATTTTAGAATGAACACACAATTTAGTACTCTTTATTCTGGATGTTAGTAAATCAGGCCCCTGGATTCCTATCTCTGTGCCCAGGTGGACTCCAAGTTTCTGGTGGGTCTGGGTGGGATCCTGGTGGTCGGCTGTGCTGTTCTGGCCTCCATGGGCTTCTACTCCTGGATCGGCCTTCCCTCCTCGCTGATCATTCTGCAGGTTGTGCCTTTCCTGGTGCTGGCTGTCGGAGCTGACAACATCTTTATCTTTGTTCTGGAGTACCAGGTGTGTATATTTATGTGCATCATTAATGTACAGTAATGCTGATTCTGCAAGATAGTTATTTAATTTTGTTGCAAACCCACTCTTCCTTCCTTGTAGAGAGATGTACGGAGGTCTGGAGAGAAGAGAGAGGAGCAGATTGGGCGTGTTCTTGGAAACGTGGCTCCCAGCATGCTTCTGTGCAGTCTTTCTGAGTCTGTCTGCTTCTTTCTAGGTAGGAACTTTGTCATTCTTTTTAGTCTCTTATAAAAAAAAAACCTGACGTGGTGAAAGAGTTTACTGCAATACAACTGTGCACACACAGCGAGTAAAAAGGGACCATTGAGTTTATATACAATGCATTAATCTCTGTTTCTGTTCTGCTACCCAAGGGGCCCTCTCTACAATGCCAGCAGTGAAGTCCTTTGCTCTGTATGCTGCTCTGGCCGTGCTCATGGACTTCATCCTTCAAATCACAGCCTTTGTGGCACTGCTGTCCCTAGATGCCCGACGCCAAGACAGCAACCGCTGTGAACTGCTCTGCTGTGTTAAAGTGTCAACCAAGCGGCCCCAAAAGCCAAATGAGGGCTTCCTGCTGCCCATCATGAGGAAATACTACGCCCCTGTCCTGTTGCACCGCTACACCAGGATCATAGTGGTAAAGCTACTAACCCTTTAGCCATAACATAAGACAAATTCCCAGTTATTTTCAACCTGGAGTGAAATACATATAAACACCACATGATTTGCTTATCACATACATTTTAGCATTTTAACTTGATATTTGTTGAATACATTCTGTCCTGTTTTCACCTCAGATGTTGGTTTTCATCTTCATGCTCTGTGCATCAATGTTCCTCATGTTTAACGTGACCGTGGGTCTGGATCAGGAGCTGGCTATGCCTCAGGTCAGTGAGCACTGCTATATAAATACAAATCAATGCATGCACGCTGCTTTTTCAGTGTAACCTTACAAAGATTATTCTGTTTTTGCTGCAGGGCTCTTATATGCTGGATTATTTCCAGTACCTGTACAAATACTTTGAAGTTGGAGTCCCTGTTTATTTTGTAACAAAAAGGGGCTTCAACTTCACCACTGTGGAGGGCATGAATGCAGTCTGCTCCAGTGTGGGCTGTGATCAGTTCTCGCTAACCCAGAAGATCCAGTACGCCACCAATTACCCTGAACTGTGAGTTTGTTCATTTTCATAGTGTGGACACTAGAACATATACGCTTTTAGACAAGTTGTACACTTTTAACTAGGTGTTAACAAAATGTGACTGCACGGTTAAACTCTGCATCAACCAGTTCCTCTGCTCAGAACAGTGAAAAGTGGTTTTCTGCCTGTCCTTGTCCTTCACATCATTATTTGTCACTGACAGATCCTTGAACCTACTGATATCATAGTAGCAACCTCTTACATACTGGCCAATCAGATTAGTTAATGATAAACTCAGTTACATGAACACCACTAAGTAGATAAAGGGTAACTGATCGTTCCTGGCAAAGACAGCAAACACCCAAAACATCCCTTTTAATAACTGACCAAAAAGAATCAGAGTCTGTTCTATTTAAACCATTGTGTTATTTATAATAGTAGTATAACATTTTTGCCTATTAAGTGAAGTCTCCTGCAGTATAGTATAAATCTTTCCCACCAAACAGATAGCTTGCGACGCATCAGTAAATCCCAACAATAGAGAATGACCTAATGGTTAATGTCATTATGATATATATCCTAATATGTATCCCTATGAACTACAGATGACTTTAAGAGAATTCTGGATGTTAGAGGGATTAAAAACAAGACACTTTTGTTTCCTGGAGATAAGAAGGCTTATCAAACTACTTTATTGTGAGCAATATATGTATTCCAGTATTGGCAAACAGCAAGGCTCTACTCATAAAAGGGGAATTTGCCAAAATTACAGTATTACATAGGAGTAAAAGATGTAGGCAATGATGCCACATTCAAAAATTTGTTAAATTTACCAAAAAGGCTTTAGTTTTCCAAATGCTTGCAAAAATGAGCTCACACAGTCTGTCTATACAGTACAATAATTTTAATATCACTGTCAAAAGTTAAGAAAATACTTCAACATTTGGGGAATTATGCTTTATTTGAGAATTAGAGGAAAAGATTGTGTCGACTGTACAGCTAGTTGTCTCCCCCAGTTTCCAGTCTTTCTGCTAAACTAAGCTAATCAGCTGCTGACTATAGTTTCATATTTATCATTTAGACACAAGAGTGGATACTCTTCTCATCTAACTCTCAGCAATAAAGTGTATTTCCCAAAAGGTTGAAACATTCCTTTAAAGGATGAGGCTTATTCTATATTTCATGTATTGTCACTAAATCCCTGGAAAAGACCAAACCCAACAATAACAAGAACTGTCTAGCTGAAGCATGATATAGCTTATTCCTCTGTGCCACAGAGCTCCATTGTTGTCTAAAAACTCTTAAAGACACATCACTGAGTCACACTTTTACACTCGGTGATATTTTTCTTTGTGACAATTATTGTGGGCACTGTAGTACTCAACAAATGTATGTGTGTTTTGAGTCAATCCCACATGGTGTGTCATGCTACTGTAAATACGCAGAACATCAAATGTGTGTTAATCCATGGCTGAAAATAGTCCCCAAAATTCACTATTTACTCCCATTTGAGTGAACTCTACTGCCCAGAGTTTTTAGGAAATTAGAGACTGTGTATTTGTGACCTGTTCTTAAATATTTACATCTGATTCTCAGTAAGTATTGATGGAAGGCCTATTAATGGGATTTGCGTGACTATAAGAAAAAGTATAGAATAGCTATAGTCTTATCCTTTAACACAGACTTTTGTATTCCTGCCTAACCCACTGATAATGTGATCTGTAGATCCTACTTGGCTATTCCTGCTAACTCCTGGGTAGATGATTTCATCGACTGGCTGAACCCTGGATCCAGATGTTGTCGTCTGTACACCGTCGGTCCAAATGTTGGAAAGTTCTGTCCTGCAAGTGTAACAGGTATGATCTTGCTTTATGTCATGTAAAGACATCACAGGCAGGGATCCTGTTGACTTGGTTGATTCTGGTAATAGACAAACAGTGTGTTCACTGAACTGTTCTGGAAAATGTATCTTCAATAATGATACTAGAAATATAGAAACACTCATGTTACAACACACATGCAGCTTGATTGTTGGCTAACTTAGCAAGCAACAAAGCCGAAATGCTGCTGTTTGTAGAACAGATATAGTTAATATGTAAATCTACAATTCTAAACTCCTGTAGATACAGTCAGTATAAATTCATATAATGATACAAATATGAACAAAAATGAACACTCTCTTAAAATAATCTGCATAGTGTTTTAACCATGTTCTACGCCTAGATGGGAAAGTTAGATTGGGAAGAATGTATGGTGTGTCTTTCCATTCAAGGTGCATTGTGTAAGATTTGGCCAGAATTGTGTATTGTGTTGCTTAGATATCTTCTGAAGTTAGCATGCTAACCTGAGTCTGCCCTCAGTCCAACATGAGAGTACACAGAAGGAGAGCTGCACTTATGGCTTGTCCATCAATGCTGCTGCACAAGCTGTTCCCCCTAATGCCCCCCAACCTCTCGTTCGTCCACTAGCTGTACTTTTTTTTGTCTACTGCCACAATTTCTTCACATCTTCTCTTTCTCTGACTGGGCAAACTGGGTGTGAAATCATCATTGCCGCGCCCCAAAAGCCCTGGCTGCTTCCTTTCTACGCTCATGTTAACCAATTCACAGAGTGAGCCAGTGTAGGTACAGCAGTGAGCGAATCTGGCAAGAAAACACACTGATTATCTACTATAAACACTATAAATTATATATAGAACATAAATGATCTGATTTTCATAAATGATGAAATAACAAAATCCACAATTTTATCAGCCGACACACGCAGGAAAAAAACAGTTGCAGAAGAAGCAACGCCCCGCTAATCCAGGAAGAGATAAAAAGCATAATTTATGAGGTTATTATAAAGATAAGTTCTAACATTAGCTACATGTGATTAGAAAAGAACAGAGGAGAAGAATCGCTTATAAAGCAGAAAGAGGTGAAATACTGCCGCCAATTTGTTTGGAGCATTTGGCCATATTGGTACAGGAATTGTGTTATTGTACCTTTAAAGGCAACCACACACATATTTCTGTGTGTTTTCTGTCACATAAAGTGACAGAACATACACACACACACACACACACACTGAAATATATTGCCCTTCTTGTATTAACACCCGCTCCCATGTCCCAATAGTTCCTTTTGTCTGTGGCAAGTGTATGGATAAACCTTCAGATGGCGTCCTCAGGCCCAGTATGGAACAGTTCAACCGATTCCTCCCTGACTTCCTGGGAAACAGGCCTGACCTGCAGTGCCCCAAAGGGTGTGTATGATAGCTGTACATGTGCACACATGCACACAAAAAAATGTCCAACATGAAAACAACATTCTCACTGCTTACTGTCTCTTTTAACAGTGGCCTTGGAGCCTATGACACGGCTGTGGTGAGAGATGAGAGTGGAGAAATTATAGGTAAGTCATCTCAGTTCACCTTAAAGCCATCAAATATCTTATATTCTTTTAATAGAAATTATACAGTAAGTGAACCTTTTTTCCTCTGTGTTCCCAGCTTCTCGGTTCATGGCTTACCACACACCTTTAACCAACTCTCAGGAGTTCACTGCTGCACTCCAGAAGTCCAGGGAGCTGGCCTACAACATCACCATGGGCATGAGGAAAATACCAGGCACCTCACCTGACTTTGAAGTATTTCCTTACACGTATGTACTTTGAGTTCCTGAACTACTTTATCTCATCTTCACTCCTGTACAAGAGCTATTCTTGCTTTCTTTTTTTATCATTTATATTTTTTTTACGATTGCCATTAAATCTATGCAGTCTGTCGTGTCTGACCAGTATTTTTTCCCCCTCTATTTCCAGGTTGACTAACGTATTTTACGAGCAGTACCTGACGATTGTTCCAGAGGGGCTCTTCAACATCTCCCTGTGTCTGCTGCCGACCTTCGTGGTGTGCTGTCTGCTGCTGGGTTTGGATCTGCGCTCCGGTCTGCTCAACCTAATCACCATCATCATGATCGTTGTGGATACCGTTGGTGTCATGACACTGTGGGACATTGATTATAACGCAGTGGCCCTCATCAATCTGGTCACGGTAAGACCATGAAGTTAATTTTACTCGTCGTGAGGCGTACCAATCAGTCTGTGAAGACAGTTGTATGATATCTTCTGTGGCTTTTGTGGGTAATAATCTTGATGATGTCATAGTGAGGTCATCAGGGTCATCTTCACGTGGGTTTGGAGACTTCAAATTTAGAGAAGAGAAAGCCTACATTACTGGAAGAGTGGTGTTTGAAAGACATGGGTGTTCAGCTGGCTCCTATCTGATGCTATAGAGTTGCATCATGGATGATGTAGGATTCAGTCTTTTTGGAAATTGACCCATTCTAGGGACTAAAAACCATGAAATTTTAGTCTCTTTTGAGTCCCTTATGCAAGTGCAATACTAAATTATCCCTAAAACTCAACTCCAATCCCTATACAAAAATAGGTCATTGATTTTTATGATAATTTCTTTCTTTACTGACTTTCATCCTGTGTATTGTTTGCAGGCAGTGGGAATCTCTGTGGAGTTTGTGTCCCATATGACAAGATCCTTTGCACTCAGCAGTAAGCCCACACATGTAGAAAGAGCTAAGGAGGCTACCGCCAACATGGGCAGCGCGGTAAGCATACTATAAGGCAATCTAGGGCAGCCATTGTTAATGACTTCAAGCAAATGTAATGCTTTTAGTGCCACACACAGTTAGTTGTAGAAATATCCACATGCATAATTAAATATGTTTATTTTGTGTCCTGTAGGTGTTTGCTGGTGTTGCTATGACCAACCTGCCAGGCATCCTTGTGCTGGCGTTTGCCAAAGCGCAACTCATCCAGATCTTCTTCTTTCGATTAAACCTGGTCATTACACTTTTGGGGTTGGCTCATGGACTTATATTCCTTCCTGTGCTGCTCAGCTACTTTGGTATGTAATTTATGCTTGGTGTGCAATATAACAAAGTGGTTTGAGGATTGTTAAATAGAATTAAACATCACATCTTCTTGTGTCCTTTTCTCAGGTCCTGGTGTAAATAAAGCAGTGCTGCTGCAGCTCCAGCAGGCCAAGGCAAAGGCCAGCCAGGATCTGGAAATGAGAAACAATATGAAACACGTCTATGATAACATAAACTTTGAAGATAACGAGATAAAAAAACCCTACAAAGAGGAGAGAATTGACCGTTTCTGAGCACCAACAACAAAACAATGTTTAAGCTCTGATGAGTAAATACCTCTGTAACAAACTGAACACGGATGGACACTTTAAAGGAGAGAGATAGCAAACAAGGAGTCATGTATTTGGCTCTGTATGGAAATCATTAACTGAACTATGTACCTCAATCAGAAATGGACCAGTGGGACTGAAGACAGTAAAACAATGCAACAACAACTTGCAATGCAAGAGTGGGTGATTGCAATGAGAATCAGCCTTCCTGTCTCAACATGTGAAAAACTGCATGTCTGTCTTCACAAGCACTGCAGCTGGGCACGATTTGTTGTTCAATTGTGAAATTATTTGACAGTACAGGAAGTCGACAAATGTTCTTAAATTAGTCATTTTGTATTATTTTTTTATTGAATGTAATTGTTTAGTTTTTGTTTATTGTTCACATTAGCACTGTTTAGAGTGATTTAAAGGAACACACACTCCAGAATTTCATATTAGTTTTTTTCAATAGCAGTACATTGGCATTGCTGTAAAATGTGCAATCATTGAAAAGATATTAAATATATTTAAACATTTGCCATAGGTATTTATTATACTTATATTTATTATTTATGGTACAAACAAGAACTTCTACACACTAGATTCTGCGCTACCCAAGAACAAGCCTATTACTGAAACCTTGTGCATACAATTAAATAAATGTGGATATTTTAGTGTAGTTTTTATTTGTACCATCTGTTATTGATAGCCCTTGCAGCGCCTAGCAAAGCCTTTCTGCCAGTTGAGCGGCAGACACTTTAATGCTATGATTTTAATTTATAAAATTACAAATATGGCATTCTCACATTGCAGAAATTGGACCATACATTTTATCTGTGTTTTCGATGAAATGACAGGATTAGTCTGCTCATAGACCTCCCATATGTCTTTAGAGGTTGCTTCAAGAAGAAGATTAATAGATCACTAGATCTCACTCTCTCTCAATATACCTATGTCTATGTTGGAGTCTCAACATACACGTGTGTTTTGTGTTGAATGTAGTGTTAAAATGTTCATAAAACAAGGAAATTACATATTCTTTTCTTGTTAGGGAACAGCAAGGATGGGACAACTTTTTATGAAAGTTAAATGAAAGGAGGAAACTCCAACTTGTAGTAGCCAGACTATGATAACTTGCTGCCCTTCTCTTCAGGTCATTTGACAGTGTACTTGCAATATGGAATTGTATGTGTGTACCTTTGAATTAGAGTTTAAAAATGAAATGCAGCATTCCCATATCTATTGCAGAAGTAATGCAGCTGGTTGACATGTCCATCCTAATAACTGTTCAACATCCTGACCCAACATACATGTCATAGCTTCTTCAGTGTCATAATTATACAGACATGCCCAGTGTATGAGTAAATTCAGATGTAAGTTACAAATAAAAAGAAATGAAATGAGTGTCAGACATTTTGGGTATTTCAAATTTTGTTTTATTAACAATGCATCCCTTTGATAGGATTGTATGTTTCTTTAGGTCATCAATGCCCCCCAAAACATACTGTACACATTATACAAGGGAAACCACAATTCAGACAAAACAAAAAGAAAAAAAAAAAAAACTTTTTAAATTATAATACAGTCTTGAGGAAAAAATATAAATAACTTTTTTTTCTTCTCTGGTGGAGCTCACTCTATGGTACAGACGTATAATAAATAGATCGGGTCTGACATCACTCAGCTGATCTATAAATCATCTCTCTATGAGTCCATTTGTGTAGCAGCATTATAGCAAAACAAGCCAATGGAAACAGAGATCCCCCGTTTCCCTGAACCTTTTACAAATCCTTTAGTCATCCCCCCCTGCCCCCCCTCCTCCTTCTTAGCCATTGACAGACAGTAATATTGCATTGTGGAAATAGATTCAGGGGTAATTATATTCCTAGGTTTAGAAGCAAGAAACATGTTAAGGTGATGTTACAATTTTGCCATGCTTGTTGCACATGCAGCGGAGGTTAAGCACAGAGGTAAGAAGGCCTAGAGCTGGGTGGCTGCAGGGCTTATGCAGGTTTCAGAAACGTCTGTGAGCAGAGTTTGGTACTAAATCTGTAATGATCAACGATGAATCATTCTACAAATAACTTGTGTGACCAAACATCTTTCCAAAGATCAACCCACCTCCTGAGAAGCTTACTTATAATGCAATGGCTGAAGAAAATCATTAAAAGGTCCTAAACAAGTAAAGGATGGTATTAACTAGCATTAAATGACATGCTCTTCTCCTCATGTACTGCGAAAGGGTGGCATATATAGTGCTTTAGAAAATACAATACTAGTGATGTTTGATTGTCTGAGATACAAGAAATATAAAAGTAATTGGCTGTCTGTGCTGACAAGAGGCTACAGGTTGTAGGAAGTGGCGAGGCAAGAGAAGCATAAGCACATATCTGGCTAGAACAGATCGCAGCTAGGGGTGGGACATAAACCAGGAAGGACCCAGAGATGTTCTAAAAACAGCAGGACCCTTCTGTAGTGCTTTGTTTCATAAGGATAAAATAACGCAGGATCTGAGGAATCACTGGGTAGACACAACAACATGCCTTATTCATTTCATTACAGAAATACACCACCTCTGGAAAGAGATAACAGGTTGAGAGAATCTTTTTTAAAAACACAATGTGAGTCTTTGTCTTAATGATCCAGCTTGTTCTTAAGCATTATGTTGATGTATTATTGAGGGATGCTCAAGATTGCCAACCCATCTGAAAACAGTATTTGGTTAAACTGCGCCCCCTTTTTCCTGTAAGAAAAAAAAAAAAGAGAGAGAAAGAAAGAAAAAATGTCTGAAACAGCATTAGGCGTGTTAGGTTAGATTTTGTTTCCAGATGCTGACATCCTTTGTTTCCAGCGTGTGTTTGCTAGAAGAAAGGCGAGTGATGACCACCTCCTCCTCTTCCTTGGCTGTGGTACTCTGTTTTGAGCAACAGATACATGGTAGATGCCTCCCCATTCTTCTAGCCATAACTTATATTCTCTCAGTCGTTTTTTTCCATGTTTATAGGTTGGCAGGACCAGGGCTGTGCAGGGAACGCAAGGGGGAGGATGATCAGGATTCTGCAGGAGGGGCAACATCCTCTTCAACAGGTTTTGGTAGCTTTGTAAGTATTGCCTCTGCTTCCTCGAACATCTGGAGAAGAGAAAAGAGGGATGTATTACGTGGGAGAGTAAACACAAAGATGAAGAGTCTGTAGGGGAAGTGGTAGTATAAGGACTTACTGGCATGAATTGCACGTCCTGGAAGAGTTCCTGTATGAAACGTCTTGAGGTCAGGCGAAACATACAATGGGCTAAGAGGTGAGAAACCTCGGAGTACAGGCAGATGTCGTCAAACGCATAGGGAAACTTCTCCTTTATCCTGCAGGCAAAGGAGAAATTTAACAGGACTTACATTAAACCCAACTTCTATTGTTATGCAACTGAATATGCATCTCAAAAAATGTGTGTTTAGAATCAGGAGGAGAGAGAGAGCTTTACGTCAGTAGTCCTGTTTCGTGGCCTTTGGTTCCTACAGAGGAGCTGAGGTTGATGATGAGGCGAAGCACCTCCTTTCTCAGCAAGACTCGGGAGGCGGGGCCATCTTCTGATATCGCCTTGCCACCTAAATGACACATAAATAAATATTCAATATTCACCACAAGAAATACAATTAATATAAAACAGTACCACTGAACAAATATTTTTCTTTCTTTGTTTTCTTATTTCATCTTCATTTTCTTTCTCATCATAGTGGTTTGTTCTTGTCAGCTGGGTGTCTGTGAGGCCACTGTTAAGTAGTTTAGGTGGACAGGTCAAGTCAAGGTATGTGCCTTTTCTTTTTTCCTTTGTCTACATTGTGATCTGGTTAACTGGAGTTACTTCTTTTATACTGACATCAAATATTAAGCAGCTACAGCTTTTTTTAATGCCACAAAGTTTAATTCAGATTTTTTGGCATATTTTGTGTTATCTGTCTCAGGATTGTTTGTTTTTGAGAAAAAAAAAAAGGCTTTCCAGGTTAAATAAAGTTTAAAATAAAAAAATTAAAACCAAAAAGGTGATAGTCAAGAACCAACTACGCTGAAGACAAATCTAACAGAGTTCTAATCATTCATATTTTATTGAGACATTTCAGCTCTGTGGCACCAACAGTGAAATTGATTATAATATGGTGAAAATATTAAACAAACTCATATTTTATTGTGGAACTAATCTAATATTGAAAATGTGTTTTCATAGCAAAACTACAGAGAGTAAGAATTAAACAAAGTAATGACAAAGTAATGTTTTTTGTGTGTAAAACATGATATCTTGAGAAAGTCTTGAAAACCACACATCCCTGCAGGTTGTGGTTATTCGTGGTCTTACCTATGACAATGTCACCAGGTGTGGGCGTGCTGCAGACTGAGCCTTGTGACACAGCAGCATCACTGCAGCCTGACACCCCGGAGAACTTGGACTGAGGCATCACCTCCAGACGATGGCCGCTCTGTACTCCCCATGATGGGAAGTCCACATAGTCTGGCAGGAAGAAGATCTTTTGTTATATTCTGCACTGAGGTTAAAGTATGTCCAAGTGAATGGCTGAATGTGTGTGTCGGCTCACCTGTACGAGGGTGCGTGCTGTTCATCTGTGGCTGTGTGGGGTATCCGAGGACGATGGCTCCTACACAGTAGAGGCAGTTTTCGTCAGTGTGATCCTGCAGCCCAGTCTCCTCTGAGCCCACCGTGTGGTTCTGGCTGTCACCTCGGCACACAATCAGCTCTGAGATACTGAACTGTTGCTTCAGCACGGGGACAGCAGGGCGATCACCTACAGAGGAAAAAACCCATGGTGAGCACAGACACACCCATCTGTTTCCAAATCTTTTTCTTTTCACATTTTTTGGGATTTCATTATCACTTAATCAGGCATAAAAGCTACATTTACCATCTCCATCACCAAAGAGGAAGCGTTTCCGCTCTTCGGACGGCGGGCTGATCCTCTGCTGAAAGTAGGCCGAGTCCCTGATGTGGAACATATTGTTGATGTCCATGGGCAGTGCTAGGCCAACATAGTCGTCGTTACACCCGTAGGTGGCGCTGGAGACCATTGAGCGCACTGAAGAGCAGCGGTGCAGAGTGCTTTGGTTGATGGGACTGAGTAGTTCCTCTTTATCCAGAGAGGCAAAGCTCAGAGCCTTCAGAAACCTAGGGAGGGCAAGAGGAGAGGTGCTTGAGAGGATCCGGGGGGAGAGACTGGGACAGAAAAGGAACGTGAGGAGCAAGTGAAGAAAAGTTGGATAAAAGCACAGAGAAAGAAACATAGTGAATAGAGGTTGGGGATCACAATGGGCTCTAAAGCCCGACATACAGGGCAGCAGCTACAGGTAAGCTCACAGCAGAGGACAAAGTGTGATATCGCTGCCTTAAAGAAATGATAAGTTCCCTTTGGCATAGCTTTAAAATACCAGAAAGTACCAAAGGATCTGTTTATAGTTTCATAAGTTTTTTTTAGAAAGGTCAAAATATGATTTGTATCCTTTTTCAAGTCAATCAGCAGAAAATGATTCGGCAAC